ACTAGGCCTACTGTATCCCACTGCATGTGTATCATTATATATAATTAGAGGCAACTAATATGGCAACCCTTCGTAATCGGGGATTTACCTCTATGTCTTTTACTAAAAGGAAATGGAAGAGACTAAAATCGATCTGCTGCCCCAATTACAGCACTTTGGATCTTGTTCATTTCCCAACTTTTCTGTCTTCTTCCTTGTCTATCTACTTTCTCTTCCTGGTGGTGTCTCCCTAGGCAACCGACCTTATATGACCCTGGCTGTTGTACATGTCTCCCTAGGCACCGGTCCTCATATGACCCTGGCTGTTGCGAGGACGTTAAATACCAAACAAACAACCAAACACTATACGATAGCATGGATGGGAGAGATTTGTATGGCCTCCCGATCCCCCCAAAAATAAAAAATAAATAATGAGCGCGCAATACTCAAGTGCTTGGTATCGTTTGCTTTCAGACTTAATAGCCGTTAGGTAGTAGATTAGATGGTCGTAACAGGTATTAATAAGTTTAATTGGAGTCACCTAAAGCCCCAAATTTGCACACCTCTTTTGAATTATTCTAAGCTTTATTTGATGGTGTAACACTGTCCTACAATTATCATGGAAATTGCGCTGTGCAGCGTGTTCCTTTATCAATGAGGAAATATAGCAATTATTTCATTAAAATTCGGAGGACTCGGGTTGTTCTTCGTTTTATTCATTTTGGGAAAATAAAGCACATTCGATTTTGCTAGTGGAAGCACCCTGTAATTGGCTGTAACACTAGGCAGAACTAATTCCATAGTAAGGACTGACGAAGGTCTGATTTGGTTATCAAGTTCTACTATTGATTTTATGAGGACATAGATGTGAAAATACTCCTAGATAATTCCTCTGTTTAACCACGGAATTAAATTAGAATTATCTAAGTCCGTGGTTTGACATTATATATGCCTATATATTAGATTATACTGCATGTCTTTGGTCTAACTTAATTAGCTTCATGTCGGGGATTTATATAACTATTAGTTCAGCTATGTAAACTGACGATATTTAATTACTTCATTTCTCGAATTTAGGATCTCCGTTAATTGGATTTTTGGAGCCGTCGGTATATAATCGAGTAAAATTACTTTATTTGTTTTCAATTAATTCTTACTCTATATAGGTTGGTATTTATAATTACAATGAAGTCAGACTGTTATGCCCCGGTCACACGTTCATGAATCGTCTCGCCAGATCCACTAGGGATGGACACTCACGGATGACCCCGGCCCGGAATAGTCTATATCCGTGGTCCGCTACGGTTGCACCATGGTTTGACTACGGATAGGGGCTAGTTGACAACGAGGAGTGGGTTAGTTCAGCATGTACTACGGTTGTCTTATCCTTGGTGAATTTTTGAACATGTTCAAAATTGGTCACGGATATACAAGTACTACTACGATTGACTTGGGACACAATACGGAGAGCTACGGACCACTACAGATTGCAACGACTACACAATGTAGTCAAAAACTCCGATATTACGTAGGTCGTTTGAGACTATACTGTTGAACGAGTCGTACCCTGCATTTTTATATCAAAAACAATACTTACCACGTCCAATTATTATGCAAATGATCTCCAACTACCAGTTCTTTAACTCCCAAAGTAAAGTTTCAAATGCCCCGCGCAAATGCGAAACTACTCCCTGTCCAAACCGGACATACGGGTGTAGAATGCGCGCGCACCTCCAACTTCCTCTTTCTTCAACTCGAAAGAAGCACATGGTGGTTATTTCTACCCTGGACTTCGTTCAAGTTTTTTGAGGGCGGTAACCTGTGTCATTGTTTGTTTTCATACTTCATATGTTATACCAGTTTCCCTGCTATTGTTTATATATATTTTTTGCCTTTATTCACCGTATTTCGTTGTAAAACGTCGGTACCATTGCCACGTGTTTTGGTCCCCGTTCGTTTCGTAAGTGTTTACTTTCACTTTGGTTTTAGTTTACGGTGATATTTTGTGAATTAAAATTATTTAATTTTTACAAATAAGGGCCCTGCTATTGTTGATATATATATTTTTGCCTTTATTCACCGTATTTCGTTGTAAAACGTCGGTACCATTGCCACGTGTTTTGGTCCCCGTTCGTTTTCGTGAGTGTTTACTTTCACTTTCGTTTTCGTTTACGGTGATTTTTGTGAATTAAAATTATTTTATTTTACAAATAAAGGCTGAATTGTTTGTTTATCTTGTTTGTGAACCATGAAGGATTCCTCCAAGTCTGACAAATGGGGTAAGAGGAAGGACAAGGCTAGGTCCTCCTCCGGTAGTACCGACAACCCCACGGAAAGTCCTTTGGCAGGTACCTCGTTGGCAGAGGCCCTGCAGGGTCCCAAGACTATCCAGTCCTTGGCTGGCTCTAGCCTAGAGAGCACAGGTGTTGGCTATCCTGTTGCCAAGGAGGTTGCCCCCCCCCCCCCTTCCATTGGTGTTAGTTCATCTCTGGAAAGGGTGGGCCTTCCTCCAGTCTCTGACTATTTAGTCAGTCCTGAAGCGTCTGTTGGTGGGATAGAGTCATGAATGAGAATCCTTTTGGGTCCTCTGCTGCGATGGGGAGTGGTAATTCTTCGAATTATCTGGGCCCCACAGAGTGTAGCAGCACTGCCACCTCTCATGACTCTTCACGGTCCCTTCTCTTTCCTGGTCAGGTATCCGGTATCAACCCTGTCGGGGTCGAGTCCGTGCCAGCTTGCACCATACGGAACCCGTGGGCCGCGCCAATGGGTAATGGAGAAGGTGACAAGTCTGACAAGAGTAGGGCGACACCCCATGGTCTCGGGTATGAGTCCTTTGGGCCTCATGCTTCGGGTACTGTGCATCATGGTTTTGGTGCTTTCCAGCAGCAATCCGGTCATATGTCTGGCCCTAGGCCTTTCATTTTTGGTTTCGCTCCGGGAGGGAGAGGCGGTTCACCTTTTCCTTTTGGTCAGGGTGTTCCTTCCCATGTACCCACTGGTCAGTATGGTCAGTACTGGGGTCACTCTTTTCCTTATGGTCCTAGAGCCCCATTTCCTCAGGGATTTGGGTACAACTCAGGTTATCCTTCGGGATTTAATCAGGGTTGGGGACCGGTCTCACCTCAGCAGGTTGGGGGCTCGCTGAATGCTCAGCTCCTACCCACCTCTGGGGCTGGGGAGGAGGTTGTGTTTAAAAGACCTATTAGGACTTTTAGGACATCTCGCTCCAAGACCAATATCCCCGCCTCTCGTAGATCTTCAGAGTCTCATATTGGCCCTTCGGAGCCGAAGAGAGCTCGTAAGAGGACTTTTTCAGAGAGTCTCCAGAACTCTACCTTGCCCTCGACAGTAGACACCTCCGTGTCTCCTTCCAGGAGGGGTACTGAAATGGAGAATGGGGACAGGGGCGATGACGTCCTCAGCCTGTCACCTGGGAGTGTGATGACTGAGATTCAGTCTGAACCTCCTTCTCCTCATCATGATTTTGATTCTTCGGAATCTGAAGATGATGAGGTGTCGGCTGAGATAGAGGTAGAGCCTGAGGTTGAGGCTGAAGCCCACCGTGCTCTGGCTGGCATGCGGGCGCTTCGCGCTGACGTAGCCAGAATCCTCGGGGAGAAGGTTTGTTCTCCTCCTTCGGCGTCTGCCATTCCAGAAGCGACAACGCTGCTGAGTCAGCTGGTTCCGCCTAAGGTTTTGGCTCGTTCTGACGAGTCTTTGCCTGAGGATTCAGTTGTTTCCTCGGCTTTGGCTGTCGCCCATGCTAGGATGGCAGAGAAGGCTGCTTCGTCCTTTCGTGTATCTGGTGCAGCTGGCCTGCAGTTGAGTTTGACAGATTTGTCTGAGGTTAGATCCTCGGACTACGCCATTCACAACGCCAAACTTGAGAGTCAACCAGCTAAGCTGGAAACTCACGAGCTTCGGCAATGGCCAGGACCGGCGACTGACCAGGTGGTGTTCTCTGCCAAGGAACACCACAAATTGGAGAAAATCCTGCGGCTTTCTCTCCATGTACTCTCATATTTTGATTTCCTGACGGTTACCCTTTCCCGTTTATCGGAAGTGCCCATCAGGGAGTCAGAGGTTGATGAGAGTGACAGACGGGCTGTGCAGGATAGGGTGACCTCATCCTTGCACAACTGTCTGAAGGCCTCTGCAGCTTTGCAGTGTACACTGCTGGCCAATTTGGTTCTTACCAGGCAAGCCTCTGTGCTTAAAGGTAAGCCTATTGAGGAACCTTACCTTTCCAGGCTTTTGTCCTCTCCCTTCGAGGGTCCTTGGCTCTTTGGGGGTGCCCTTCATTCTATTCAGAAGGAAGTTAAGGAGGACCCAGTAGCCTCGGCACTTTTGGTTTCAAAAGTGTCGACTGCTGGTAAGGCTGGACCCCCTCGGGGTTCGGGCCAGGCCAAGAAGAAGGCTAAGTCGAGGCCTCGTCAGACTCGGTCTGCGGCTAAGGCTAAGTCTACCTTTAAGGCCAAAGCCAATGGTAAGGGCAAGCAGAGTGCCAAACCCTCTGGGGGTAAGAAGCAGACTTCTCCCCTCCTTCCACAACTCTTCCGTTTCAGTCCGGGCAAGTAGATCAGAGGTCTCTTTTACCCGGTCTCATAACGGTCGTAGACAGCCCCATAGACGTTTGGGAAGGTCTTGGCCTTCCTCAACCGGACCTTCCAGTAGGAGGTCGACTGTCCGCCTTCCTTCCTCAATGGAAGGAGATTACTCAGGACAGTTGGGCATTGTCAATAGTTGCGGAAGGATTGAGCATCCCGTTGTTACGGGAACCTCTGCTCACAGCAAAGCCAACCTTTTTCCCACCCCCGGTGTATCTAGAGAAGGCTCTAGCTGTCAGACGGGAAATTGCTACTTTAGTCGAGAAGGGTGCAATCGAGGAGCTCCCACTGCGCCGGTACTCTCCAGGCTTCTATTCCCGATTTTTTCTGGTGAAGAAGAAGTAGGGAGCTTGGCGCCCGATTATAGACCTAAGTGCCTTCAATCGGTTCGCGGACTCTCCCCACTTTCAGATGGAGACCCCAAGAGGCATTATTGCCTCGGGCAGGGAGGGAATGTGGGCTACTTCAATAGACTTGAATAATGCCTACTTCCACATTCCCATCAGGAAGTCGGACAGGAAGTATCTTCGCTTCTCATGCGAGGGCAAGATATTCCAGTTTCGGGCTATGCCTTTTGGCCTTACCACAGCCCCAATGGTTTTTACCAAACTACTGCAGGTTGTGGTAGGTTTCCTGCACCAGCGGAGTATCAACATCCATATTTACTTCGACGACTCCCTCATGCTTCATTCACTGAGGGAGTCCCTGGTTTCTCAAGGTCGGGTTCATCCCCTCCCGAGAGAAGTTAGAACTGTCTCCCTCCCAGGACTTTGTGTTCCTAGGCTACCGGTTCAACGTAGCCAGGGGTATAGTCCTTCCAACTCAGGAGAAATTCATCAAGGCAAGGAGTCTGGTGCTTCAGTTTACCCAGAGTTCTGCGGTACAGGTTCGTTGGTACCTCAGTTTGCTGGGGTTTCTCAACTCACTAGCAGATGTAGTTTCTCTTGGAAGGCTGCACATCAGACCTCTGCAGATGTTTCTTCTCAGCCATTGGGTTCCAGCGTCGCGGGATTGGGAGGCTTTTATTCCTCTCAGTCAGTCGGTCAAGGAATTTGCCCAATGGTGGACAATTCGGAACAATGTCCTGAAGGGGGTGTCCTTGCACAGGAGCTCACCCACCATGACCCTGTATACCGATGCGTCCAAGACAGGTTGGGGGGCGTACCTGAACGGGCAGGCTCGCTCAGGTTCGTGGACAGGGGATCATCTTTCCGAACACATCAATGTGCTGGAGATGAGGGCAGTGTTGTTGGCCATCCAGGACCTCAGGTCTTATCTGCAAGACCAGGTGATTTCCGTGGCAACAGACAACTTAACTGTTGTAGCTTATTTGCAGAAGCAAGGGGGCACCAGGTCTCACGTCCTGTGTGTCCTGGTCATTCGCATTTTGCTACTTTGCCAGGAGTGGTGCCTTACCATTCAGGTCAAGCACCTTCCAGGCAGACTCAATGTTCTTGCAGACACCCTGTCAAGACGTCTTCAGCCGGTTCTGACGGAGTGGCAGCTCGATCCATCCATATTCCGAGCAATATGTCTGGTTTGCCACAGCCTTGAACCATCAGTTGCCGACGTTTGTGTCTCCCGTTCCAGATCCAGCAGCATGGGGATTAGATGCTCTGTCTCTGGACTGGAAGGGGTTGCATGCCTACGCCTTTCTCCCCTTCGACTTGGTGGCCAAGGTCCCCCAGAAGTACGAGGAGCAGCCTTGCTCTCTAATTCAGGTGGCTCCCTTGTGGCCGAGTCAACCATGGTTCCCTCAGCTTCTATCGTTTCTGGTGGAAGAGCCTCTGGTCCTTCCACCCAGGTGGAACCTGTTATGACAGCCGAGGTCCAGAATCATGCACTCCCGCCCGGATATACTCCACCTTCACGCGTGGAGGCTATCTCCGGTGGTCTCGCGCAGAAGGGGTTTTCTGGACCGGTGTCAGACTGTATCGCTAGGTCCATTAGGTCTTCTTCCGCGGCAGTCTACCAGTCTAGGTGGAGCATCTTCTGCGATTGGTGTGGTCAGAGGCAGGTTGATCCACTCAAGGCCTCTGTTCCCTTAATTGCAGATTTGTTACTGCATTTGTTTCGCAGTAAGAAATTAGCTCCTGGTACCATTGCCGGCTATCGGTCGGCTATAGCTGGTATCTTATCTTATGCAAGGCGACCAGAGGTAGGATCTTCCTCCTCCTTGTCCGCCCTCATCAGAGGCTTTACCATTGAGAGACCTAGAGTTAGGCGTCTAACTCCTCAATGGAATTTAGCTTTGGTTCTGGAGTCCCTTTTGGGTACTCCTTACGAGCCTTTGAGTCTAGCCTCCTTGAAATTCTTGACTCTCCAGACTGTGTTTCTGGTCACCCTTGGCTCGGGGGAGAAGGCGTAGCGAGGTTTATGCCTTATCAGCACATTCCTCCTGTTTACGTTTCGGCAGGAATTACTCCTCCGTGACTATCAGGACGGAACCTTCTTTCGTCGCCAAGAATCAGGTTCCGGGGTTTTCGCCGGAACCTGTCCGCATTCCTTCTCTCTCTGACCTGGTTGGTAAGGACGAGCGTGATCGTCTTCTCTGCCCTGTCAGAGCTCTCAGATATTATCTGGACAAGACAGGTGGGGATCGAGTATCACAGTCTAGGCTTTTTCTGCCCATCAAGAGTGGCCATTCCAGTATTTCGGCACAATCCATCTCCCGATGGATTTGCCAGGTTATTAGGCTGGCTTATGAGTCGTCTTCGGATGATGTCAGAAGACTATTCAAGGTTAGGGCCCATGAGGTTAGGGCTCTGGCAGCGTCTTGGGCCCTTCTCAATGGCGCTCCCTTTTCAGAGGTTATGTCCTCAGCCTTTTGGCGAGGACACACTACCTTTACAGAGTTCTATCTGAGATCACTGTCGTCCTTCTCAGACAAACTTTACTCTTTGGGTCCGGTGGTTGTTGCCCAGTCAGTGGCTTGCCCACCCACCTCAGAGTAGAGTGTTCTCTGTTTTTATTTTTTTTATGCGTTAGCATTGCGACAGAAAATCTTTGCTTGGCAATGATCTTTCTGTCTTTTAATTTGGTATGCTCTATATATAAGAGCTTCTGGGTATTAAGGTTCCAATTGATTGTGACAAGTTTACCGCCCTCCTGGATTAGCCATGGTCCTGTCGGATTGGAGTACCCACTAGGTAAGACGAATTCGCATAATAATTGGACGTGGTAAGTATTGTTTTTGATATAAAATTGAGTTTTTTTTATGTAAAACCCATTTTTATGATAAAACTACTTACCACGTCCAATGTGAGTGCCACCCTCCTCCCTGGCTCCTCCTGCTCCTTAAGGCTTTTTGCTTTTAGGTGTTTTTGTTCGAGTTTCGAATAGAGGAAGTTGGAGGTGCGCGCGCATCCTTCACCCGTATGTCCGGTTTGGACAGGGAGTAGTTTCGCATTTGCGCGGGGCATTTGAAACTTTACTTTGGGAGTTAAAGAACTGGTAGTTGGAGATCATTTGCATAATAATTGGACGTGGTAAGTAGTTTATCATAAAAATGGGTTTTACATAAACAACCTCAAGTTTAGCATCAATGACCGATTGCAGACGATCCAAATTCAATTTCAATGTGCCATTTTCCTGTTTTAATAGTGTAATTTTTGTTGCCAGTTCTTTTTCACATTTTCTTTCCATAGACTTTTCTACTGTTGTGAGTTTTTCAGTAAGGGTATGTACTGCTGTGCAAAGTTCGACGAAAGAAGGGGAAGCAAAGCCGCTGTTATTTTGCCCTGCTGCGGGCCTCTCACCATCACATGAACTTGGTCTTTGTTTGTGGCAGAGGAATCTCCGTTTATAAACGCATTTATTCTGAAGCAATCTTTTGCATATTTGTCAATACTTGTACATTTGGTTTATTTTTGCGAGTCAGAAGTTTACCTTTGGGAAAACCATTGATCGATTAAGCTCTCTCAGTCAATATATGATTTGATCCTCACTATCATTAACTGATGATTTCAGCTTTTCAATGTACTGGCCATGTGGTATGTTCATAAGTTGACAATCGAGATTAGGCACTTTGTCTGTACTTTGTGATACATGTTGGGGACCATCCTGTGATTGGAAAGTACTATCACTGTCAACGTTTGGTTCTGTCTGACTGGCCGCACAGCCAATAGGTGTGGTAAACACAGTTTGAGAACGCTGATCCACATTTTGATATACATCTACACAGTTTTGACTAGATTTTTGACATACCCTAGCATCAAAATCATCAGGATTAACATTCGACACATCGATATACCCCTTAGGACTATTTGGGAGTCCGGTAGATACATTTTCACTGCTCCGGTCAAACTCACCGTCACTAGTGTCCGCCATCTTGCATTAGATGAGACTTATTTGATGTTAACTTTGTACAACTCTCCAATATTGTATTATTATTTATACGAATTAAATATTTGTTATTTGGTTGGTAAGGCAATCTGAAGTATCGGCCAACTTTGCATCAATTAACTATACCAACTTAAATAGATCTGTTGTATGGCCATGATGAGTTGTTTTCTTCATTATGTATATATACATTTTTGTACTTGCTTGTACCATACGTTTTGTTCAGAGAGTTTGTGTGGTGTGTGCTGTGGATAGTGCTTTATCACATAATCGGCCTGTTATCCAGTTAAATCGCCCGTGTAATATTGTTACATAGGTCACTAGTGTAATATTTACCATGGAGCGTTTTTCATTGGCTGTGCCAGTCAGAACTCGATTGTGGCGTCATAAGATGGACGATGACGTGACGTCATAAAATGTGAATGGCGCAACAAAATGTCTGTCTCCGTTTGCTTAAGCCCTCTACATTTTGGCTTGAAAACCTGTTAAAATGTAAGTTTTCTGAGTTATGTGATAAAAAGTATTTTAAATTTGGTTTCATTTCATATGACCTTTTTTGAAACTCGTCTCGAAATTTTATTTTTTGCTCGCCAAGGCTAGCAAAAATTAAAAAAAATCTTAACACTCGTTTCATAAAATCTCATATGAAATGAAAACTCATTTAAGATCCTATATATTGTGTTTGTATATTGTAGCTATCTCTCTTTTTTTTCTGTTATTAATAAATTCAAAATATTTTGATCTCACTTTTAACCAGTTATATCGCCACTCATAAAAAGAAGTACATTTGACTGTTAAGTAGTTGTCAATGTATTTGTTAAAACTGTAGCTGACATTGTGAGTTTAAAATGATAAACAAAATTAAACTTATTTCCTGGTGCTAATGCCTGACTTAATGATGATTTACTTGTTACGTATGGAACATCAAATTGGAAAACAGTTTGTGCAATAATACAATCAGACGCAGAAATTTAAAGAAAATTTGGTAAAGAAAACATTACGAATGCTATAAAATTTCATGTAGAATGTGCAAAAACTTGAAAACCTGAAAATGTTATACACACATATTGTACGGGCCGTTTGCGAGTAAGGATAATTTATATAGCATATATAGTGCAATAGGGTTTTCAATATGACTTGGAGTTGATCAATTATAATATTATAACCTAAATAAATCTCTCATAGAAGGACTTTTCAGTTTCTTTTCATAACAACGAAAAATACAAAGTGAGACAGCTTATTACATGCACTTACCAACCATCTTACAAAATCGAAGATTTACCAATGGAAATCCCTGTTCTTGCGACCTAGTTTTTCTGAGGATTTCCACCCCCGATGTTAGTTGCAATTTGTAAAGAAGTCGATCGGGACCAAAGTTGGCTGTCTGGGCATTCTAACAAATACAAGGTTCTATTAAGCAGTCTTTTATGCTAAAAATGTTTTAATAAATGTACAATGTACAAACGTCTGCATGTCGAAAATACTGCCTGATTCTATATTTGGTATCTAGCGTCAACGCTGCTATGTTGTAAACCCCAATGCGCACCTCTGTGTTCTGTGAATGGGACAAATGATCAATGAGGTGTTTTAGTCTGTGACGTGGTCACAAAAAGATATACAATACCATATCATGGTTTTGTTAATGTGTTTTTTTACTGGTATAAGTTTAATTATGGAATAGATGTTTTTCTTCTGTAAGTTAATGTTAAGTCTACGGTGCTATTAACCTAAGTAATCTGTCGAAATAACAATTTGTAATTACGGATTATATATTTACACTCTAACGGAATATTGTAGAAATATGTCGTCTGTTTATCATCCGCTGTACTGTGAAATAGATTCAGGGCGGGGCCCTATGCAAGCAAATTATAATCTGAAGCAACACATACTTGGTGTTTTATCATTATGATATTACCTTTAACTTTGAACTAAAGAGAAATGTAAGCATATTGTCATGATAGATATTGTGATGATGATGATGATGATGATGGTGATGATGATGCCTGTGTTATGTGAAATTCGTTTAGTGTAGGAACGTAATAAACGTTTACTTTTCTAATAATGGCTGACAACCACACTTGATCAAAATAAGCTAATGCCGCGCACCTTCTAGGACAAAAATTGTTAAGATCAGGCTATAGGTCAATCAGACTAGCATTTAACACGAAGATAAAGTAAATAAGGAAGTGAGAAGGCATCACAATAAAAAGAAATCAAACAACAAACTGGATGTAAGTCACAATTATTTCTAATAACAGTGAGGTGAATTATAAAAATAAATAAAAAAGGCTTTAATTGGAAACAAGAAGAGAAGACGAAATGCTGATACATTGCATGAAAATGATTGTTTTAACCCAACAAATCGAGGCAAAGCCAGGTGTTTCTGATTAGTTAAGGTTCAGGTAATTAAAAATTCGGCAACAAGGTATCCAACGTCGGTCGGACCTTTCCTTTTGATAAATATTTAATTTGATGGATGTTTAGGTAATCAACACGATGTTCGTGTCTGTATACGATCTTTGGTGATATTTTGTCATGGTCTTATCATTATGCTTTGAATATTTGTGGCGTTGGTCCCATGTCCATTAAAGTTGAAGTGAAATGAGTCGATATGTTTTACTGATGTTCATTGGGACCCCTATCTTTACTCATTGACCTATCATTGCCATTTTATTGAGTACATTATCACCAATTTTAAAAGCATTGCCTGACGTTTTAGAAAAAAGTTGACTAGACTCGTGGCTCTAATGGTGTATATTCATGTCTCTTTTGGTCACTGTTGTTGGTGTTATCAGAAGTATAGGTTTTGTTAATGTGTTTTTTTTTCTATAACTGGTATAAGTTTAATTGTTTTATCAGTTTTATTATCGATGAATTACTATGTGGGAATTACTATGAATACACGTTATTGTAGCCAATTTTTATGATTTCTACGTCATGTAACGCAGTAGTTTGGTGTTCCCAATTTATTGTTTGCCGGTCGGCGACATCAGTCGCATCCGTAAATAATATTACTCAATCAAGGCG